AGGGTTTTCATTACATGAGCTATATACAGCTCTTAAGCAAGCTCATGACACTTCAGCGGGTGATGACAATATCAATTATCAGCTACTGAAAGACTTGCCTGAACCATGTCTGGTCACACACTTCTAGGTATATTTGACACAATATGGACGTCTGGAAATATTCCTCCTTCGTGGCATAATGCTACTGCAGTCCCTATGCCGAACCTGGCCGGGATCATACTGATCCTTTCAATTACAGACCGATATCTTTAACTAGCTGCGTCTGTAAAAACCATGGAACGAATGGTAAATAACAGATTAATTTGGTATCTGGAAACCAATAACCTCATTACAAATATTCAATGTGGTTTTCGGAAGAATAGAAGTACTATTGATCCTTTAGTACGCTTAGAATCCTTTGTCAACAATGCTATTATAACTAAACAACATGCCGTATCAATATTTTTTCTTATCTTGAGAAAGCACATGATACTACTTGGAAGCATGGCATTTTAAAGGATTTACATGATTTGGGTTTGCGAGGTCGTGTACCTCTTTTTATATCACAGTTTTTAAGAGACAGGCAAATTTCAAGTCCGAGTGGGTTCAACCCTGTCTGATCATTACAATCAGGATCAGGGTGTCCCACAAGGCACTATTTTGTCTGTCACGCTATTTAGTATTAAAATAAAAAGTCTTTCAAAGGTTTTAAGTGATTTAATCGATGGATCCCTTTTCGAGGATGATTGTAATATTTCTTGCCGTGGCAAGAACATGCAAACTATTTAGAGACAATTACAAATATGTCTCAACAAAATTCATAGATGGTGTCTGGAAAACGTGTTTAAATTTTCGAACTCCAAAACCAGTTGTATACATTTTTGTAGGAAATACAAACCCCATAAAGACCCTGAATTATCATTAAAGGGCACACCCAACAAAGTTGTCAAAGAGGGTAAATGCCTTGGTCTCATCTTGGACTCGCATTTAACCTTTCTGCCTCATATCAAACCTCTAAAAGCCAAATGCCTGAAGGCACTCGACTTGTTGAAAGTCGTTTCCAATTCAAAGTAGGGAGGGGACCAAACTAGCCTCCTTCATTTTTATAGATCACTGGTCCGATCGAAATTTGATTTCGACTCCATCGTATATGGTAGGGACTGTCCAACACCAGGGTCTAAGACTTTGTCTTGGGTCTTTCAGAACCTCTCCCATTGACAGTCTCTGCGTCGAGGCCGATGAGTCATCTTTAAAAACTTCGCCGTATCAATTTGTCTTTACAATATATCACAAATTCTAATGAATCCAATCCTGCTCACAACTGCGTGTTTAATCCTCCTTACGAGGATCTGTATGATACAAAAGTCTTCACTTGTTCCACCTCTTCGGATAAGAATCAAGCCATTCATTTCTGTTGTTGGCATTGAGCTGGAAAATATATCTCCTTCCCGTCTTCTTTCTTCTCCTCCTTGGCAAATGGTTAGGCCACAAGTTGACTTAACATTGAGAACATTTAAAAAATCAGACATACACATCCTTATTTATAGATGGATCCGAAGATGGTGGCGCAGAGACTTGTGCAACTGTCGTTCGATCCAAAACAATATCTTCTAGAATACCGGATAACAGCTCTATTTTTACAGCAGAAGCAAACGCAATATTAACAGCTTTTAAATATATTAGAAAACACCGTAAATATAAAAAAATACATAATATTTTCAGACTCTCTTTCGTTCCTACAGAGTATACAATAACTTTACCTGTAAACATGCACTTTTAATTGAAATTATTGATTAATATAATGATCTTTCTACTGGCCAATACGACATCGTCCGCTGTTGGATACCAAGCCACGTTGGAATTTCTGGTAACACAATGGCCGATTTCGCTGCCAAAGCAGCCCTCAACAAATCTGTTACACCACTCCTTATTTCATACTCTGATCACAAAGCTAGAATTAGAACTTACATCCTTGATCTGATGTAGTAGAAGTGGGACACCCAAGTAGTTATCAATAAATTACATGCAATAAAACCCTTTATAGCTAAAATACATGGAATTATCATGAAACGGCCCTCCCATTATCAGAAATTTGCGGGCCGCTGCAAATGATATTGGACCGCTCAACCTTAACGACGGGCCACTATCAGTTCTGTTGTCAAGTGACGTCATAGAGGGTGCATGGACTTACGGTTCATTCGACATTAATTGGCTTTCGACTGGAAGATATTCTGGGTCAAACAAGCCAAAGCAACCCGGATTCCCGCTTTAAATAGCGGTAATATTGGCTTTCTTGTTGTTGCTAACCTTAACAATTGCATTATTAGGGCTGTTGATGGACCAAAACCGAACACTGACATAGTTTGACATGTTGCAGGCTATGGTCTTGACAAATGCCAAGGTTGAATATCGTCACTTTGTGTTGTGACGTCACTTGAATTGTTCGATGACGTAATTGCATTCGGGCAGTCAACCCCGTCAGAAGTTGATTTGGGTAAACTTACAGTCAAATTTCTTTATTGTTTCCTTTTTCTTTTCAACACAAGTTCCATGTATTTTAGCAATAATAACGGTAATGCTATTTTTGAGGGCATTATCATTTGCAGAAGCCTTCGGTCTTTTCAACTGCCCTCCTTCAGTTAATGGAAGACCTCGGGCTTCTGCAAATGATAATGCCCTCAAAAATAGCATTACCCTTATAATATTGGTTACACCTACTTGGGTTGTCAGTCCAGATTTGAGGAGGTCATCATGCGTCAATGTCGCAATGGCCATACCCGTTATACTCACAAATACCTGTGAGTTAAAAGGTGAAGATCCTCCGTTTCCTTGTGGTGAGAGATTCACGGTCTAGCATGTCCTGCTTGACTGTGTTGAATTCTTCATCATAAGGGATAAATATTTCAATGTGAAAACAGTTTAGGATCTTCAATACCACTGTTAATTTTCATTAAATTATTATTTTTTTAAAGAAATTGATTTAATTGATGAAATTGGATTACAATGTTTTGTAGATGGCTGTATTTTAATGATTGTTAGTTGAGATTCGTAACTTAGATTTTAGTGGCTTTACCCTCAAAGGGGTTTAAAGTATTGTAAAATTATTGTCCTCCTGAAACATTTGGTAAATTTCAACTTACAGATTCTTTAAACGTAGTAATTTTGTATTTTAATTTATGGCTAAATACGACTACCATCGCCAGCTGCTGAAGGAATGATATAAATCCAGCTAGGGTCCATGCAGGTAGCAAAAGTACTGTAAGTTCCCATTGTCCTCAGTATAATGATCTTACCTTCAGTTGTTGACGATGAATAGCCCATTGTTACCTTGTATTGTCCCAAAATAGTTTTTGTACTTTTGAAGATATATGCTAGCTAGTTTCTACCTCCTTTTGTGCTAATCTAGTAATTTTACTGTCCTTCGTTGACAGGGTTTAATAATATGTTATATGTGTGTATTATGAATTCAGAACTAGTTTTAGTCACGATATGGCTGAAATATTGCCTGTGTGACTTTAAATTTAACTCACTTACTCACTATAAGAGTAATAATGAAGTTGCCGATTGCTCGGGTGCAGGACGTCATCGCGTCACATCGCCAAGACAGTACTGATGGAAACGGGTTGACCGATCGCCAGCAGAGGTGACCACTGCTCAGACCATTCCAGGACTTTGGCATGTCACACAGCGATTATGCATACTTCGTCACGGGACATGACCACGTCGTCTTACCATACCACCTATCCTTACGTAACGTCATCGAGAAACCGTCAAAGGTGGTGCTGAAATTACGTCCGTCAACATCGGTTGTGATGGAAGACTGTTATGTTTTACAGACAAATCCAAACTTAACAGCTTCCATAGTGAAGGGCGTCAACGTGTAACAGACATCTTGGGGATGTTATGATCAACTTGTGTCATCGAGAGACGTCGCTTTAGTGGTATTTTTGTAATGATTTGTGGTGGGATAGATTCACGCCAGAGATAAGTGTGAGCTACAGTGATCACACTCCCGGATCAGTGGCAATTCCGTTCCATCAAGATCATGTCCCAGTATTGACATTCCAACATGACCCGTCCCACCTTCTCACGGTTAAGGTTGATGCTGCTATTCCTTACCAGTAGAGTGTTAATAATCAATTACCGCTTTGACAGCAGATTCACCATATCCCAACCCAATTAAGCACGTACGGGATGAAATGGAACGACCTCCGCCATATTCGCTTTCGCGATTTGACAGTAAAGTTACTTAGAATAAGGCAAGCAATTCCACAAGCCTTCGATGTCCATTTGATACTCCCTGATACTCGTCGATGCACTGCTGTTCTCGGTGCTCACCGTGGACATACGAGTTGCTGCGTTTATATATATACATACTATACACGTGTCGTAATCAAAATTGCCAAGTTCTGGGCTGAGACTTTCTCGCCCTTGCTCCTGAATCCGTGGGCTCTCAGAAGAACATTAACTTTCAACATAGACAACATAGTCTACCACGTTCCCGTCACAATACACATACCATTCATTTGTCACGTAAACAGATACATCAGAGACGCAAAAGTGAGATGCCACACTCAACACTCGGAAGGTAATGGAGGACAATAGCCATCTTGCTCGAGAAAATGCATTTTACGCACGGTAAAGGCCATGAGCAAGTTCCACAAGCGATGTTAGGACTACTACTATCGTAAGTGTAGGTGAAAGTATGGCAGTTATTATCACGTTCATGCTACGATCGCTTTGTGTAACCGCACAAAAACAACAACATATAACAAAACCAAACAAACGTAAACCCTCCCAAAACAAACCCACAAAACCAAACAAAGAAAACAACAACAAAAATAAACAAACCCAAAACCAAATGTAACAAACTCCAAACAAACCAAAAACATACAGCAAGTTGCGCCACTAAAGCTGAACATTCAAAGCCCTCGAGTGTCCACAACAAATATGGCTTCAACAGAAAAATGTTGTTTCAGTGTCTAAATGTACCTAAACTTTTCCCGGATTGTTATACGTACGTGGGTACTCCGCAGGGGTGATCCTGACACGGCCCACTCTGACAGTCACCTGCAGATCCACCTGCCACCATCCAGGTTGAGCATACGATCCTCCGACTTCAACGTAGGTGCATTGGGGACCAGTAATATTGAAGCCGTCCACTGCCCGCTCTGGGCCTTGACCAGTGTAGTCGATATTCATACTATGGTTGGCGGGACGCAGAAGAGCGAGGTTGTTGTCCCCTGAATAGTCGTGAAAGCACAACATATTATGCCTTTGAGCTAGTTTTAAATAAAAGCAGTGAGAGCCTAGTTATTGTACTAACCTCGCTTACAGGATTTTGGATATGTCTGAAACATTGCTGAGGTGACGTTAAATTTCAACTTGGTCACGTTTACCGTTTCTGATTAACAATATGATCGAATTGCGTTACAGCCCAAAAACTGAGTCAGTGACGTCAAAGGTTGAATCAAAGTGACAAAGTTATGACAAATCTCCACTTACGATTCCGTCAATTTCACAAACGTTTAGCAAGTGTCCTTGAAAGACATTCTCATCAATGAAGCTATTGAGCTTGACGAGTTTCTGTTATTTCAAGAAACCAATGACACCTAGCTAGTGAAGCTGATACACTGGGTCTGCAACTGTGGCGGTGTGGAAGGACACAGACTTGAAAGTGCCAAAATATAGACAACCCTGTAAAACAGACACTTCTCACAATACTTTGGGTCTAACACGTTGCCATCGTGATTCACAGACCATTCAGCTGTCACATAGTGACGCCGAAATAGCACAGATTCATCAGAATAGTTGGATGTCACAGTCAACACTCGGTGAGGTGGCAGTAGCCATCTCTCTCGCGAAAGTGCAATACGCGCCATGTGTACTGGACTGGGGGAACCTACAGAGGCCAGAAGTGCTAAAATCTTGACGGAGAACCAACAACATCCATCACCAAAGGTTGATCCCGAGGTACAAGGTGACACCTCTGTCAGGTATCGAAATTGAATACTGTGCGTTACAGAATAGAAAGATTTTGCTATAAAACGAGATATCATGGACATACTAAATGGGATAGAAGTCTCCACATTATGAGAATGTGCATTTCTTCATATATGTTCACGTTTTTAAACTTTAAGAGACACTGATGTTTTTTATAATCGTTTTTATAATGTTCAAATCGCGTTCAATGATTTTTGCGTATTTATTACATTCCGATTGCAACACACTTATCATGTAACCAATGCTACTCCTTTTTATTGACGTTAATCACATGTACGAGTACCTCAACGTGACCCAATTTATCTAATGGCTCATGCGGATTTACCTTCTATGAAATGTTTGTATGTCTTTTTATATGAAAGTTTCATTAATTACCACAAATCACCACCCTTGACAGAATTATTGGGTAAGAGTGTAAGGAAAATTGTTTCGGCGCCTCCCATCACAGAAACTAATTACGTTTTGCAGCGCTGGCCGGCAATATTCTGCCTCTAACGTCAGTCACATCATTGGACCACACTGTGATATATAAATCATGAATTATTAACACATCATTCACGTCTTGGGTGTGTTAATTGAGACCACTAATCTAGAAGTCTCACACCTGTATCCCTAACATGCTTCTCCATGTTCAACTGTTATTGCGTCGTTAACATCTTAATTCTCGCTCATGGTTAATAGAGTCAACTGTCGATGAATAATTGCATACATGAGTTTTTCAGCTATTTTTACATTGCGCCTTATTAAACCATTTATACGGCGTTTTTCTCTCCTAATATCACAACCTGAATTTGAATCTGTATTGATGTTTGTGTGTACACGTATATGTAAGACGACTTTTGAATTTAACCCAAACTTCTGAATCGAGTATTAAATTGATATCCAATCTAATCATCAAATTATAAATAAAGTGTAACACCCAATATGTATCTATCATACAGTCTGAATTCTGCTAGGTGCAACAGTTGACTCCAAGATCGATAATTCACCGTTTGCAGGTCAACAAAGAATTAATATTAAGAAGCCATTTGAAGACCCAATGTAGCAGCTGTTCGATCATAATTGAAATAGCATTCTGAATATTTGAATTTCAAACAAAAACAAAGACACTACAGAGAGCAAGCAAACAAACCAACAAACCAACCAACCAACAAACAAAATACTTCTGTGGTTTCCGATGAAATTTTCTGGGTTCTTCAATGATAAATAATAGAAGAAACTATGATCATTTATAGCTTGTTGGGATTAACGAACGATATATGCTTACCTGCAACGCTCCCCACCGTAAGGACGATTAAACAAACGGCAGACTGCATTTTTTCTGATATATGTTGATACGAACAGCTCTGTTTGAATGAAACAGACAGGTCTTTCCAGATTGGATTTCACACAAGCACTAATTTCAAAATGACAAGAAGACATCTATGGAGTTGAGTAAACCGTATCAAAACACCTTTCAGACCTTCGTCAATACATTCATTATTCATGGATCAGAATACCGTGAGGGAAAACGTTTGAATCACGCTTAGGAACATTTCAATAAATGAACATGTTTTGTCGGTAACATTAACATTCAGTATGGTTACTGACAAGAGTCTTGGTGGACATACTGGCCGCAGTGCATGAATAAATTCGTATGTAAATCTAAAGACGTCCCCTTGACGCCTTGTCTGTGAAAGAAGTGTGCTGATTACGGTTTGATATCTTTGTCGTACTTTCTGAATCAGTGGGTAATAAGGACAAATATTGACATCATGTACTTGGAAGCGTTAACAATATGGAGGATATCTCGTGTGTCTTATGAAATCTGATGTATCTGTCCTCGTGTGAGTTGACAATGTGAAAATATCACATTTGACGTCACTCGATGACAGATACATAATATTTCACTATTCAAAATAATAGTTCATTAAACAATACTGGTCCATGTGTTGACATTATCAACAAGAATGCACGCATTGTTAATTCATGATTCATAGTCATCCTCATCAAAAAGTCTGCTTACATAGCAATTTCTCAGTGACACATGACATATGATTCTCTGGACCCTACCCACAATCAGAACGAGTGAGTGAACGAGCTTAATTTTAAAACGCTCTTAGCAATATTCCAGCAATATCACGGCGGATGACACCAGAAATGGGTTTCAGACATTGTACCCATGTGGGAAATCGAACCAGGGTCTTTGACGTGACGAACAAATGCTTTAACCGCTGGGCTACCCCATCCCCCCTAATCAGAATGAACACAAGATCTTACTCAAGACACTCCGTGACAATCACGAAATCAGCATGAAGAATAAACAGAAAGCTCTTCAACAATGGGCACCTTTTGTCACCTGGCTCCCCTACTATGGAACCGTCAGCCACACAAGACTTGTAAAGAAACAACCCAACAAGATGTAGTGTAACAGTTCAGGAGAGGATCAGTATTCCAAATACCATTGAAGCCACAGTCAAACCACCATCCACCCTCAAACAAGATAGGAACAGTAGACCATATCTCGTGTAATTTTGGACACGCTTATATGAGTGAAACATCCAGATCCATTACAATCCGAATTATAGAACATCACGGTTCAGTATTTAAACTTAACTCAATGACACAATCAACACTATCTGACCATACCCATGACCACACTGACTGACTGACTGACTGGGTTTGGTTTTACGCCGCTTTTTAGCAATATTCCAGCAACATCACGGCGGTGGCCCATGACCACAGCATCCAGTGCAACAAAATTAAAGTCCTTAGTAACAGCATCAGAAAACTCCAAGAAGCCACTCACATGAAAAGACTTCAGTCATCAATCAACCTTGACCAAGGCTAACGCATACTCCCAGCTTACCGGCAACGTATCAAAAAGTCAGACATAATCCTTCTGTAACATATGTTATACTGCTACACTTTCTCAGTGTACAGGTTCAGATTTCAACTCCACACTCGAGCACCTAAGCCACCACACACAGTCACGCATTCACCTCGGCTTCCACAAAAAACTGAAGTCCTACAACTGGTAGTCTGGATCACCTACTTTGTGTAGCCCTCTGACGAGTGCAAGTTGACACCTATGGCCGAAAGATAAACATTCTGTGTTTTTACACGACTGGCTTCATTTGGAAGGACCTGATTTACCTTAGGCTTCTGCAGTGTATACCCATCATGCTTCTCGGCTCTGTTATAAAACACTGCTACATATCTGCGTATATGTCTCCTTATGCTACCCTGTACATCACTTGCACAATAACGGTGTTAGAATCTACGTAACATCGCTCCGCATTGTTCATCCATATATTTTATCCTTACTTAGTTAAATACGTCCAAAAATATGTAAAGTCTGCACCACAGACAGGGGTAATAGCTGGGTATAATTGTACAAGTCCAACTTGAATACATTTATAATGAGAACAATGAGTGAGGATACTCCTTTGTTACAGTTCTGTTCACAATGTCGTCTAACAGCCTCATAGATTTATAGATGTTCAGCTGTTGCATATTGTTGCCCATTCATTATCACAGTATTATCCCAAGACAAACACTAAGTTACACTGTTGATAAATTAGTAAGTGTCAGTGTTAGGGTGAATGTTGGAAGTGCAGTGTTCTCAGTTAAACACACGTGCAGAGACAAACCATGTGTTATTTGACAGGCATAGATAGTACTGCTTCCGGGTCAGAATTGGTCTCCGAATTATTGCTTAAGCAGCACAAATGTGTGACACCGCTTCTGAATCCCTACAGTGATTATAATCCTGTAATTATAGGTTTCATCAAAGATCTAATGCTAAAAATGTGGAAGAGCCAAGCAGGTATAAGTGAACTCTATGAAATTAAACCACCTACTTGTTACGCCTACTTTGGCTGGTAGTCCAGATTTGTAGTGGTCATTTTGAGACGATGCTGTATTGCCCACAGCAGATACATTCACGAATATGTATTGGAATGTAGTGTATCTCTTGTGATGAAAGAATAAGGGTCAAGTATGTCCTGGTTGACTATTTACAATATTTACTATTAAAGTTACAATATTTACTATTAAAGTTACAATATTTCAAATCTTTTAGCAATATTCCAGCAATATCACAGCAGGGTACACCAGAAATGGGCTTCACACATTGTACCAGTGAGGAGAATCGAACCCGTGTCTTCAGCGTGACGAGCGAACGCTTTAACCACTAGGATACCCAACCGCTCCTCATCTATGAAATATATGTGTATTGGATTCATTCAATCATGAAAATGAATTAACTGGTTGCATATTTTAATGTATAGACTTAATTGTGCTATAAATCGGTATTATATGGTTATTGGCAGTGCCCTCAGCTGGGTTTGAAGTACTGTAAAATTATTACCCCCTGAGGGGGACAATCGTTTTAGAGTACCTCCAACCCTATCAAGGGTATACAGACAAACAGTCCAAGTTCATAGCCATATTCCAAATAAAACATATCGTCAACAGGTATCGAATAATTCAATTTCCGTTAAATAGTCAATTAGTAAATGAGAAGTAATTTTGTGAAAAAAACATCCTTCAAAGGGATGATTTGAAATATTTGTCCCAGTCGCAATAAAATCAAAGCAACAAATATGTGTTGAGAGAGATTCTGAAACTGTCTGCAGGGGGTCAGTATCTCTCTCACTTGGCATCATGGGAAAACCAGAGACACCTTCAACAAGACAGAGACCTTCAACAAGCGGGCCACCATCTCTATCACAATCCGGAAACAAAGCAGGTCACCATCTCTATCACCAAGACAGACATCTTCAACAAAACGGGCCACCATCTCTGTCACCATCCGTGGCCCTAAGACAGACAACTTCAACAAAGTGGCTCACCATCTCTGTCACCATCCGTGAGCCCAAAACAGACACATTTAACAAAGCGGGTCACCATCTCTATCACCATCCGTGAGCCCAAAACAGACACATTTAACAAAGCGGGTCACCATTCCTCTCACCATCCGTGGGTTCACGACAGACACATTCAACACAATAAGTCACCATTTCTCTCAAAAGCCATAGGCTCAGAAGCTACACACATCAATTTCCACTTCTCACTAGTTATATGTCCTTGCGTCTTCTAACAGGTGAACAACTGACTGGCCTTTTCGCTGACACCACGTACTATCCCTTCTTTAATGTGATTTAGGGGCACATGTTCGGAATTGCACAATCGACTATGTTTTAAGGGACGGTTTCTCGTGGCTATGGAAAGAGGTTTGCCACTTTTATTTGTAAAATGTGCTCATAACATATTAGGAAACCTAAGTACGTTGTGTAGTTATACCACAGACAACTAAATGCATCTTCTGCTTGTTGTCTTTCTTCTGAGTCTTTCTTTTCCTTTTTTATATTTCCATTTTTTCCCCACTCTGCAACATACATATTATATTCATATATGTGAAGATGTACATATTTTTCCTTTCAACCAATTGGTAAATATAAAATTCCGGCAGTTATTTTGAGTCCACATAGATATGCACATACATAACATTGTCATATATATGTGAAGCTGTCATGTTTTTTCCTTTCAATTAATTGGTAAATGTAAAATACCCGCAGGTATTTTACGTTCACATAGATATACACACACATAATATTGTCTTATATGCGAAGATGTACAAGTTTTTCCAGTGAGTCTTTCGTCATATATCATTGCGTAACAAGTGTCTGTGTTCATGAATTTAAGGTTTTGTGACGTCCCATTGTCCCTTTACTAAACTGATTTTCGAAGCAGTATAAAGCCTGTCTTGCTCACCAACATTTGTGTATGGCCACTTCCGTTCACATCTTGATGATGATTACATGTACGAAAGGTATCACTGAAAGACCATCTCGTTTGGCTTGTCATATCCAACTCACTCAATCAATTCAAATCAATAATTAATTCTCACCTCTTTGAAATAACTTTTTTTAATTGTTTGTACATTTTTCAGCTTGCGACCAACTCCAACTAAAGATACTATAAATCAGAAAAATCGACAAATTTGCTAAGAGCAAAATGCCATCTTGAGATAGAGTGCGTATATTTGCTTTGAGGTTCCACAAACTTCTCAATACGGTAGTCACTTAGGCTTATTCAAGGTCGACCTGCGTCTAATGGAATTCCTTGGACGTGCCAGCAATGCCACGTATAGACTGTTAATACGGAATATGGAATAACACAGTCATCTCTCATTGCTACAAAAGCCCTTCCTGTCCAGTCACGATCCTGGAGGTTGACTCTCACTGTAATAGTGTTAATGGTCTCTTTTGTAGTCTGTGGTCAACAAATTGACTTATTTCTGGATAATTGAGAAATCATTAGCGGTCTATTTGCAAATTGTTCTCTGATAGATCCTGGGTGGAAATGGTAATTCTGGCACTTACCCCTTTCACGCTGGTGTACTGCCATT